GAGGGCGCGGGGGCCGCGCCGCTGGAGCGGCAAGGCGAGGCACTGGTCGGCCTGGACGAGGTGCGGCGGGCGCTGCGCGAGGAGGACCTCCTTTTCCCTCTCTCCTCCTGCCTCCCCCTCCCTCCCCCTCTCCTCCTCCTCCTCATCATCAACCTCCTCCCCCTCCTCCTCCTCCTCCTCATCCTCTTCCTGCTCCTCCTCCTCCTCCTCCTCCTCCTCATCCCCCTCCTGTCCTCCTACTCCTTGTCCTCCACCTCCTCCTCCTCCTCCTCCTCCTCCTCCTCATCATCATCATCATCATCACCACCACCACCGTCATCATCATCATACTCATGATCAGCATCAGCATCATCATCATCATCATCATCATCACCATCACCATCGTCACCATCGCCATCATCAACAGCATCATCATACTCTCCATCATCATCATCATCATTATCATCATCAGCATCATCATCATCTTATCCATCATCATCAACAACATCATCATCATCACCACCATCATCATCATCATCATCATCATCATCATCATCGTCATCATCATCGTCATCATCATCATCATCATCATCTCTCCGCCTTTTTTGTTGGGAGAATGTGAGCGTCTTGGCTGTAGTTCTCCAGGGGGGCATTGCAGTGGAGAGAAAATGGAAGCGCCGACTTAGGCGTGCGGTAGCCAATTGAGGCTGCTGCGCGTGCGGACGTCAGAGGTGAGACCGGCATGGTAACATTGTGTGTGCCCATGGGGGCGCACAGAAACCAAGCAGGTAGCCATTTGAAGCGGGGGGAACAACACCCATACAACAGATGACGTCGCATAGAAACAGTAGGATTGGGCGACCTGGAATGAACAAATTTCAGTCACACAGCAAACTTCAGGCTCGTCGAGTATCATCATGGGTCAATGCTGCACAGTTCGGCCAGGTCGCTGGAACATCCACTCCCGCCCAACTAACCTACAGACCACGTTCCCCCTTGTAGTGGAGTCATGAAGAAGAAAAACACACAAAGCGACGGTGTGAAACCAGGGTGGGGTACTACAAGGCTTTTCGGCAGACCACAGCGAGGATTAACTCACCCCTGCCAATGGCCAAGTGACGCTGCAGTGAAATTTGGAGACCTTTTTAAATGACCATTCCCCTCATCACCCCAAGTCCCCGTGATCCTCAGCGAAGTATAGAGCCCAGGCGCAGACACAGGCGACCAGGGTCAGGGTGCAATTTGGAAACGTGATTGTGCAAGGTTGGAGTTAGCTACAGGTGAAGCACTGACAATGCTGCCCACTCCTTTGTCAGCGCTGGTACAGGCGGCATTGGCTGGCCCAAACGGCTTAGTTAGAGAAGCAATTGGCGAGATGCGCAGATGTACGATCACACGTGGCACGTGGTCCTCGGGATACGAGGAAGCCCTACACAGAGACCTGTGGGGAGAACACATGGCCGTGAACTGCGTACACGTATGTTTCTTTCCATTATATGTTTGAAGTTTTGCAGCCAGGTATCTCCCTTCCACCCCCTTTTCCCTCTCTCCCCCCTCCTCCCCCAGTCGCTCTTCCATGGCCGGCGGGATTTCCGAGTTGCCGGCGTTCCTCGGGAATTGCGCGGCGTTGGCAAGCCGTTTTGCATCCATCTTCTCTCCGGGGTTTTTCGGCCATGGGAGGACTTGCCCCATGGACCCAAGCTCGGCGCGCTGCGGCGGCTCGCCAATATTCGTGGAGTGTTCCGAGAAGGTTTTCGTGCCAAGGGCGGCAGGGCGATGGCGGCGACTCGTCCTTTCAACCTCAGTCCCAGTAGGATCGCCAGAACCCCAAGTGCATGCGCGGAAAGAGCGTTATTTTGTGGTTGTGCAAGCACAATGGCACCGTCGAAGGCAAATCGAGCCCGTCGCCCCGCGTTCCGACCCCGCCTGGTGGTACACTTGACATGTGCCTTGCTTGTCCTCTTGTTCAAGGTCCTGCTACTCGGGGGATCAAGCGTTGGCCAAGTTGTATCGCATGTGCATTGGCAAGCTACGTGCAGCGTCCATTCGCGAGCCCCCTCTTCAGCTTCACACTGCGGAAGCCCACAAGCAGTGCAAATTGGCCACGCGGAAGGAAGCAGTCGCGAACGAGGAACAGGACTGCATCAAACTCCGCGACGAGCCCGACACCAGGGATGCCATCCACCGCAATCTCGTCGACAGGCTGCATGCGGAGGTCTGACCTACGCCAGCGGTCGCGCTTGCCGCTCGCAATTTCAATCTCCGCGATCTGGCCGCAGACCCTCCGCCCAGCTGAAGTCCGACATCGCCGATGCAGTCGCCAACCAGGGCGAGTGCGAGATGTCGGAGACCGACGAGGACTAGATCAAAGAGCGCACATCTGGCTGGAAGCTGGACTCAAGAAGCTGGCCACCACCCTCCTCGGCGACGCCGTCAAGAGCATCGACGCGACCCGCGCCGACCGCGCCAATCACGCGGCCAGGCCGCAGAAGAAGCGGCGCAAGACACGCGGGGACCCAGACGCCCAGCGAGGCCCAGCGGGCCCTGTGCAGCCACCAGCGGGAGGAGGCGATGATGCCGAGACCCCTGTTGAGCTTTCTTTGGGCCTGGCCCAGTTCCCGGCGCGAGCGGCGACGCGCCGGCCGCCGCGACAGCGTCTCCCGCGCGCGAGCGAGCCCGCCGTTCGGCCGAGCATCGGTCGGGCGGCACATCCGAAAGAGACCCCCCATGCATCGCTCGAACCTCGCAGCGTAGGCGCGAGCAGCTTCAGCGCGCGCGCATCTTGCGCCACCCCGCTGGACGTCGCGCGCGCTGCAATAGTTTCTCGGGCCCCCTCAGCCGGCGTCGGCGCCGAGCCTCCCGGAGGCCACTTCAGTTTGCTTCCATGCGCGGGCCGCCCTTTGCCGCCGCGCCCGCCCCAGGCCCCGCAGGAAGGTTGCACAGTTCGCCGCTGCCCCGTCGCTGATTCTGCGGGAGCCACCGCCCGGTCGCCGGCGAAGTCTCGGCGGCCCGTTGCCGGGCGCGCTGCGGCGCGCATCCGGGAGCGCAGGCTTCGAGACAAACCATCGATACACGGGGCTTCCAGCTGGTCGGAAGGGTTCGAGGCCCGGTCGGCAGGACATCCGACGGGGCGCCCTCGAGGCGCGGCCGCCCCGGCCAGGGCCCCCCCCCAGGGCCCGCCACCCCCCGGCCCTCCTCCTCCTCCTCCTCCTCCTCCTCCTCCTCCTCCTCCTCCTCCTCCTCCTCCTCCTCCTCCTCCCACCACCCCCCGGCGGGTCGTCATGAGCGAGGCTCGCGCCGTGCAAGCTGTCGCCCAGATCCCAGGCGGCAGCTCGCTTGCCGCCGCCACCGCGCGCCCCCATTGCACAGGGGAGTCCAACTGGGAAGAACTGAAATTTGCTGGCCCGCGTCGGCGGCGGCGTCTCTGCGTGTCTCTTTGTTGGCTGTGCATGATGGTTTCTTTATGTTGTATGCAGCGCGCCGCGCTCTGTCCCGAAGGCCAGCATGCCCCCGACCCGCCTCGCGCCTCGCCCACGGCTCTCGGGGCCGGCGTTAGCGCGGGGGGGGGGGGCGCCAGGGCCATCGACAACATGGCTGTTTCTAACGTCCTCGGCAAAGCCATGGCCCCCATCGAAATTGCTGGTAATTCCGACATCAAGACCCACGACCACATCAACATGGGCCCCCCGCCCTCAATGTCCATCCGCCCCCGTGCTTGCACGTCCGAAGATCCCCTCGGTGCCCGCGGAGTTGCCCACTCGACCTTAGTCAGCGCGGCCAGATGCGCCTTCCTCTCCACCCTGTGCCCATTATCATGTCCAGCAGATACAAGGCCCTGCTCGGCGCAGCGGGGCGCAGAGACGCCACGACGCGCTCCACCATTCCAGGGCTGATCTTGCAGATGTTGAGATTGCGGCCTGCCGTCGCCGCGAGCTTCCGGGGCAGGGCCGCCGGGGCAAGCCTTTGCTCCCAGCACGATCACAGGTGATCGGCAGCCAGGGTTCCTCGTGGCAGGTGCGTCAGCCCGTGTCGCGCGCTATCAGGTGATTTGAAGGGTCGTTTCGGGTTGTGCTCGCTGCCGCCAGCAACGACAGATCCTGCCCCTCCCTGTCGTCTCGCACCAGCGCGGTTTTGAACCCGCCCGAGCCCGTCAGCACCCGCCGCCAGAACATCAAAAACTTGGTGGACCCCGCTGGGGAATTCCACGGGGCACACTCTGGAGGCGGTTGCGATCGGGAGGAGGGGCTGCCCATTTACGGTTTGGATGAGGGCCTCAAACAGAATGTTCCCACGGCTAGAGAGGGCCCCATGAAGAGTTGGAAGTCTCGATTACATCGCGACATCGACAAGGGAAGTGGGCGCGCTTCCATTAGGGCCAAACAGCAGCAGCCGCGGTGCCCGCGACTGCCGGGTTTGCGCATGGCCAGGACGTCTCAGACTTTTGCTCGCCCCAGTCTTCGGGGGCCGCCGAGTTCTCTGGCCCCCGGAACAGCAAGTCGCGCCCTGAAGCTGAAAGCCCCATTGAATATGTGGGGCCCTTGGAGGCCATCTTTACAGAAGAAGCGAGAGGACTCCCGCTCGCGCAGCCAGTTCTTAGCAACCAGTTCGGACGGTCTGCGGCAGCTGGGGCACGGCCGCGGGCAAGGCATGCAATGAATCATACACGACGGGCCGGCAAGCGTCGCGAGGTAGCATATCAGGACCCCCGTTGGGATTCACATTGCCAGTTTCGCACCGCTGTCCGACGCCACGTTCCTCGCCCTCTCCTCCTTGCGCACATTGCTGGAGCGCGCGTCTCTGCTTCCCGGGCGAGCGCAGGTCGTCCGGCCCCCCCTTGCTCGAGAAGGCGCCGAGTGGATTTGCCCCCGTCGGATTCTTCAGAGCTGCCTGCCGCGCCCGAGGGCGAGCCCGGAGCCCCGCTTCCGCATTCTGGGGGCCCGCGCATCCCATGCCCCACCCCCCCGCTTCCGCTTCCAGCGATACCGGCGACGTTGCGCGGAGACAAGCAGCAAGGAGTAAGATATGAGTCAGGTAGGAAGATGCGGCAGTCAGTGCGCCGCGTGGCCTCCGCGGGTTCTAAGAGCGCTTCAGGTTGCACGTCCTTCTCGACAGGGCCGAGTTGCCGCGGCCCCCCCGAGACTTGGCCAGGCTCGCCGCGGAGGCCCTCGCTTCGCGCCCCTGTCCAACATGGTCGACAGCCCGCATTTCGCTAGTCTGGGAGTTATCGCGGGGCGTTCTTTCGCCGCCATGTTTGCTCGCGCTTTGCCTGGCGCCAGCTTTGGATGCGCTTGGTTCCCCCAAGGGGCATGTACCTTACAGTCTACATAGACGATTATGATTATGAGGCGTTGGCTCTAGCAGAAGCACGCGGCCCGATCCCGAGCGCTGCCGGATCTCGGGGGCGCATCGTTCGCGGCGAACTGCGGGCTGCATCTAGGAGGCTATGTTGCGCCCATGAGGACATTTGCGAGAAAGGTTCAGTCGTTGCACAGGTTTTCTCCGGCTGCCCGGGGGGGACTTCCAACCTCGCCCTTAATGTAGGCGCGGGCGACGCGGAAGGCAGATCGCTCAGACGTTCTAAAGTGGGCGCTTGAAGGTTAGAGTTCGCAAAGTCAGCAAGGCCCAGAGCGCCTCGAGGGGCGCGATGCGAGGCGGCACGTTCCTGGAGGGGCTTTCCTTGGCGACGACCGTTGAACGGGATCGCAGACTGCGAACTCGAGAACCTGAGGAGGGCTTTCGGGGGCGCGGTGAGCCATCCGCTGGGTCTCGATTCTCACCCCTTCTCACCATCCTCGAGAAAGACCCCTGTCAGTTTGAATTCCGTCTCCCAAGTGGCCAGATATGATCGAACCTGCTGAGGGATCGGTTTCGCAATACTGCTTGCTCAGATGCGAGAGGCGTGGACATCTGCATTCGACGCTGCCGAACCCATTCCGACGTCGCGCTCGCGCCCCGCCATGGATATGAAGTTATCGTTTGCTAGAAGTGGGTGGCCTATGCCTGAAAATGGCACGTTGGTCACAGATCAGGAGACGAACCTGATTTGTCATCAGGGAGTTTTGCGCGGACGCCAGCTTCTGCAGGGAGCAAGCTCGGCTTTGCCACCGAGCCTTCGACGACGCGGCACGCGCGGCACTCCGCCGCAAGAAGCTCGGGACCTACGCCAAAGGTTGCATCAAGAACTTGCGATGCGGTCGCGATCGCGATCGCGATCGCGGGCCGCCGAGTCGGGGCACCTCCTCGACGGCCTCCTTTGCCCGCTCTGCCGCAGCGCCCCCGACGCGATGCGCCGCGGGCTCCGCGGGCTAATCGGATAGATTCGAGATCGCGCCTCAAGGGGCCATGCATGAGGCATCGTTCTGACCCCGACCCGGACGAGTTCAATTTATTTACACTGATTAGATTTCCTCACCTAAGGGAGGGACACCCAGGCCCCATACTATACCGGGGCATCGAAACCACTTGGGCCGACGATTTCAACTTGAGATCTATTTAGATACAAGGTCACGGGTTCTCTGCAGGGCCAGCTTTTGAGCGCAGCGGTTCGGAGCTGTCAAGGGCTGGGAGGGGTATTTCATTTGAAGGCGCCGATGGCGGGCACGTCGCTCCCACGCATGGCACTATGCGGGCCGAGTTGCCGCAGACGTCGCAGGCCGGTGATGCCTGGTCGTTGCCTGCCGCCAAAATGTTCGCTCTCGAGACCTTCAGTGGCTTACAGCGACGGCCTGAATGTGGTTAGAAATGTTTGCCCTTCCGCCGGCCCTCAGGACCCCCGATCGGAGACCTTCCTCTGGTGGGCATCTTCACGCGTGGAGTACCAAGAGCACCCTCTTTTCTGACGCTGTGAAAATAGTGGCCCACCAGACCGCAGCCGCTTGTTCAAGCAACGTCGGCGCGGGCGCATCGGCCGAGCGAGGAGCGCTCGTCCATCCCCACGCTTCGGGAGCTGAGCAGCAGGCTGCCAACTGGCGCGTGCGAGTTGCCACGTGTGGCTGCAGGCTCGTCTGCTCTCTGCTGCCCCTCCTGCCGCGGTACGACCTGCCCGGCACTGGCCGTGGCCCCGCAGCCCTCCTCGGTCTCTGCGGCCCGGGCCCCCTCGCGTTTTTTCGTCCCTGGATTCGGCCTGGGTCGCTCGAGAGGCGCGAAAGGTGCCCCCGCTGGAAGAGACGAGGCCAAGCCGAGCTCTGGAGGGTGCGCCGCTCAGCTCCCGCATGCTGCGCTCGCCTGGCGGGAGAGTGCGCGCAGATTCGTGGCTTTCCGTTGCTCGAGCTCGGCGAGTATCATGTTGTGCATGATGTTGCGTGGCAGCTCCTCGGGTGGCCAGTTCTAAAGGCTCAGGAAACAGCGCGCTCCCCAGGATCCCTCGCGTCTGTCCAAGTCCGCTGCGCCTGTGGCCAAGTCTTTCAGGGAGGGCCAGCATCCCCAGGCCTTTGGTGTGACATGCGAATTGTTCGATACTGCGGCTGCTAAGAAGCAGGCCCGAAGCCCCAGGGAAGGGTCGAAGCGACCACGGGCTGGAAACGGGCTCCGAGTAGTCCACTACTCTACTCCCTGTGGTCGCCCGCGGGCATTCGCGCTAGTAACAAGTTAAGACCCCTCTTCCTCCTTGTATTCCATGTCATTTCCACCTCCTCCCTCCCTCCCACTCCTCGTCCTACTCGTCCTCATCCACCTCTTCCTCCTCCTCCTCCTTTTCCTCCTCCTCATCATCGTCTTCCTCCTCCTCTGTATCCTCCTCTCCTCCTCCTCCTCTTCTTCCTCCTCTTCCTCCTCCTCCTCCGCCTCCTCCTCCTCCTTATCCTCCTCCTCCTTATCCTCCTCCTCTTCGTCATCCTCATCGTCATCCTCATCCGCATCCTCATTTGCATCTTCCCCCCTCCCTTTTTCCCCCTCTCCCCATCCCTCCTCATCCCTCCTCCCCCTCCCCCTCCTCATTCAACGCTTGCTTCGGGGGCCTCGGCGCTCATTGCCGACCGCTCTCTTCGGCCTTGGCTTGGGGGACAAACAGTGGCACAGCCAGAAAAATAAAGGGTCCGTGCGGGTTCTTCGGATTGGCGCTAAAGCCCCGTGGCGGCGCTTTCGGCGCCGCCCCTGGCGCGCCCCGTGCGCCAGGTGAAGGGGTCCAGCGCCGATCCGAGAAATACGCTGGGTTCTCCGAGGTTGTAAGTGTATGTCATTGTTTGTTGCCCTACTGTGTTTGCTTCGGGGCCTTCGGCGCCCATCGCCGACCGCCTCTGTCGACCCGCAGGACCTGCCCTTCCTCCTCCTCCTCCTTCTCCTCCTCCTCCCCCTCGGTCCTCCCCATCCTCCTCCTCCTGATCCTCCTGATCCTCCTCCTCCTCCTCCTCCTTCTCCTCCTCCTCCCTCCTCCTCCTCCCTCCTCCTCCTTCATCATTCCCTCCTCCTCCTCCTCTCCTCCTCCTCCTCCTCCTCCCCTCCTCCTCTTCATTATCCCTTCCTCCTCCTCTGTAACCTCTCCTTCCTCCTCCTCCTCCTCCTCCTCCTCCTCCTCCTCCTCCTCCTCCTCCTCCATGTCCTCCTTCTCCTCGTCCTCCTCCTCCTCCTCCTCCTCCTCCTCCTCCCTCCTCCTCCTCCTCCCTCCTCCTCCTCCCCCCTCGGTCCTCCCCATCCTCCTCTCCCCCCCGATCCTCCTTCTCCTCCTCCCCTCCTCCCCTCCTCCTCCTCCTCCTCCTCCTCCTCCTCCTCCTCCTCCTCCCCTCCTCCTCCTCCATCCTCCCCCTCCCCCTCCTCCTCCTCATCCTCCTCCTTCTTCTCCTCCTCCTCCTCCTCCTCCTCCTCCTCCTCATCCGCCCTCCGTCTCCTCCTTTTCCTCCTCCTCCTCCCTCTCCTCCTCTCCTCCTCCTCCTCCTCCTCTTCCTCCTCCTCCTCCTCCTTCTTCTCCTTCTCCTCCTCCTCCTGGTCCTCTGCTCCTCCTCCTCCTGCCTCCTCCTCCTCCTCCTCCTCCTCCTCCTCCCTCCTCCTCCTCCTCCTCCTCTCCTGCCTCCTCCTCCTCCTCCTCCTCCTTCCTCCTCCTCCTCCTCCTCCTCCTCCTCCTCCTCTCATCATCATCATCCTCATCATCATCATCATCATCATCATCATCATCATCATCATCATCATCATCCATCATCATCATCATCATCATCATCAGCAGCAGCAGCAGCAGCATCAGCAGCAGCTCATCATCATCATCATCATCATCATCATCATCATCATCATCATCATCATCATCATCATCGTCATCGTCATCGTCATCGTCATCGTCATCGTCATCGTCATCATCATCGTCATCGTCATCCTCATCCTCATCATCATCATCCTCATCATCAACATCATCATCCTCATCATCATCATCATCCTTCTCCTCCTCCTCCTCCTTCTCCGCCCCCTCCTCCTCCTCCTCCTCCGCCTCCTCCTCCTTCTTCTCCTTATGTTCCTCCTCCTCCTCCTCATCCTCCTCCTCCTCTTCCTCCTCTTCCTCTCCCTCGATCCTCCATCTCGGCCCTGCTCCTTCTCGGCCCTGCGCCTCCTCGAGTCTTCGTCCTTCGGGTCTTCATGTCTTCGTCGTGCGGGCCATTCGCTGATCTTCACGTTCCCCTCCTCCCCTGCGGGCCGACCTCTCGAAGGCAGCGGAGGTCATCGCCGCCGCTCCCGTCGTTCGCCGCCACACCCCCCAGTTGCTGGCCGCGCTCGGCCAGATCCGCCTGCTCGTGCGCGAGCAGGCGAGACGCGGACGGGGAGGCGCCGGCGGTGATCCCGCGGCCGTCCCCGAGGCGCGCCTGCCGCTTTCGGGGGGCGGGAAGCAGAAAGGCGAGGACACGTCAGGGGCAAGGTCCTGGGCGATGTTGTCGGTTCCTGGCGTTCTTTCTTGCCTCGGGATGCATGGCCCAAGAACCAAACCGCAGTGACCTCTGATGCGGACACATTGGGGCCCCCAGATGATTAAACGCGATTCGATGGCAGCGCCTTGCGCGCTCGGGTTTGGCCTCCCACGGCCCCCGAAAGTCGCGCTCCAAAGGTCAACTGTTGCCTGGGGTCACTCTTGGGTGAAGCCGAGCGTGGAGGATCGCTCGGGGAGATAGGCTCAGGGGGGAACGCATCGGCCCCAAATCGCCCATTTACCGCCGATAGGGGCCCGATAGCCCACCCCGCCCAGGACCGTGTGGTTGCGCTATCGGGAGCGTATCGCTGATCTATCGGCGACGCATTGACCGATTCCAGGTCAGTGTTTCACCGCCTGGGCCAGTCTTACCCGTTGTTTTCCTGTCACCAGTTGACCACCCAGATAAGGGCCTGGTAGCCCATCCCTCCCAGGACCGTGCGGCTTCGGGAGCATATCGCTGATCTATCGGAGGCGTGTTGACCGATTCCAGGTCAGTGTTTCACCCCCTGGGCCAGTCTCACCCCTTGGTTCCCAGTCGTCTGCTGACCACGCCGATAAGGGCCCGATAGCTCATTCCTCCCATGATTTTGCGGCTTCGGGAGCACATCGCTGATCAATCGGCGACGTATTGACCGATCCCAGGTCAATGTTTTATCCCCTGGGCCAGTCCTCCACCCTCGTTCCTCTTCACCTGCTGACCACGCCCTTGATGCTTGCCCCTGTCCTTGTCGGCCCTGGCAAGTGCCGATCCGCTCCCCCTCGGTCTGACCCCGAGGGCGAGGGACGATGGGCGAGGAGGACGAGGAGGAGGCGGCGGCGGAGGAGAAGGAGGAGGAGGAGTAAGGAGGAGAAGGGAGGAGCAAGGAGTCAGGAGTAAGAGGAGGGAGGAGGGTGGAGGAAGAGGAGTAGACAGCAGTCAGGTGTAAAGAGTAAGGAGGAGGAGGATAAGGCGGAAGAGGAGTGGTCCTCAGACGGGAGCCTCAACAAACGCACCGCATCATGTTCGTGGAAATTGTTAGGGCCAGAGGGGCAGGGGTAGGTTATGGGGGCTGATGCCAAAAAGACGTCGACGTAAAGAAGACAATCGTTCCAAGACGGCCACCCACGCCAGTAGACACGCTAACGGCGATGTAGGTAACGACGATGTAAGTTTCAGTTTGTAGGTGGGGGTGGGTCGTGGTCAACCCAATTGCAGGAACGCTCGGTTCGCGTGTTCCTGCGATTCGCCGTGCCGTTCTCGCTCGATACCTTCGCGTTTTGAAATGTAGGGGCTGTGGTTCGCGATTTCCTGTAATTTGTGCTGCGCGAGTTCGGCGTCGCGAACATCAGATTCCAAGCATCGCCGTTGACCAACATCGCCGCTAGCGTGGTTTTGGCACGCGCCCAAGAGACGCCAAATATTCCGCCAAGAAGGCTTAAGAGAGGGCCCGTACAAGGGGCCTGTGAGGTTACCCCTTCCTAGATGATCTCGAGATCGCCCCCAGGCCACCAAGAGGATACCGCCGCCGCGCCGAACAACAAGATCGACGAGCTGATCAACGCACAAGATGTCGAGCTGCACGCAGCCCACCCCGAGGACGCAAGCCAACCACAGGGCGCAGCAATCCAGCCACAAGCTGACACCCATCGGGAGCAACCCAAATGCAAGCACGAACAATAAGCCATCTGCCGAGCCACAGCACCGCGACCAACCGTCACCACTGCCAGCACTGCAAGACGAGGAGCCGAACCTAAGAAACGCAATCGCCAGGCTCAACCGCTTGGTGGAAGCCCTCGGTCACTGCGCCGCGCGGCGCGAGCGGCGCGCCGCCTCGCGCGGCCAGCCTGCGGCCGCAGCAGGGTCCGACGCGCAGCAGCGCCCCAGCCCAGACGCGCACCCGCAGTTGGCGAAGACCGACAATGACCACCGATCACTGACCTTACGTCGGGACTGTCCCTCTGCAGGGGGAAGAATTTACAAGTAGTCAAAAGACAGTCTATGGGACGATGTTTTGGCTATGGTTGGCCAATTGGGCGCAGTTTTCGAGCATTTGCTATCCAACATCCGCCTGCAGGGGGACATGCCCGACCTAGAAGTGACCCCGACGCAGCGATGCCCACCGACGACGCCAGCCCTACGGTAGTTTCGTGTCGTGTCGACCTACGGTGACCCCGCCAGCGGCGTTCAGCTTTGAACGCCGCGGGCGACCCAGAATCGTTCGGTGCGGAACGATATCTGGACGTTCTGGAAGCGGCCGATCGTTCAAGGTTGAACGATCCCCGCGGTGTCAGAGGCCAACATCGGGGTCGACACGACGCGAACTTGCCGTACCCACCCACCGGAAGGGGCAGCAGGAAGGGCCCACCGCCCCGAGGGAGGGGGGCGCGACGGCCCCGCGGGGACCTGCACGACCAGCAGGCCCCACGGCCCCGAGGACGTCCACCACGATGGGAGCAGAGGAAAGAGTGGCAGCCGTGGCCACCACTCGAGGTCGCCTACTCCAGATTTCGTGATAAAAGGGAGGGGGTCTGGACCCTCCAAGACAAGCCATTTCAGACCTCCCCCGTGGGAGAACCCTCCAAAACATCGTCCCCAGACCCCCCCAGGCCCTCCAAGATAGCCTGGAAGAGACCCCCCCCCGAAATGAGACCCCCCTCCCTTTATTACGAAATCTGGAGTACCACCTCGAACACGGCACTACGGCAAATCGGGAGGCGCCCCCCTGATCGCCCACAACTTGCGAGGGGCCCCGGCCGCGGGCCGGGGCCGGCCGAACGGCGGCCCCGCAGCGGGTCACCACCCGCCACGTCCCAGTGTTGACTCGGTTCGTTCCTGCGACACAGAGCAAACTGCAGCCAGCTGCTCCATTCCAAGTCCACGTCTCGGCACTGCGCTCATACCAAACTGCACGCACTCATTGGCACTCGCCGGTAGCAGCACAACTGGCAGCTGAAGTCGTTCATATTACCTTTCCATCGACGGCAATGCGCGGCGCAGACGTCCAGCTACGCAGCAGAGCATACGACGAGAACACCGACAACAGCTATGCTATGCTGTGGGTCCCCACGGGGCCTTCTGACCCGCGCATGCGTCGTTATCCGACGTAGTTGAGTGGGTCCTTACGGGGCTGTTTCGCCCACGCGAGATGGCCAGGGTTCTCACTGGGCAACCTTCATTCTCTCCTGACCCATCTTGCAGCCCCCTTCCCCCCGCCTTTCCACGCCGACCTCCAACCATCCCTCCTTTTGTGGCGGTGGAACGGAGCGGCTATTCAGTGGGCGGAAGAGTGAGAGGACATGCCACAGTGCGCCGTGGCGAGGGCCAGGGCGGCCGTTGCAGCATCGCAACAGGCCACCTGGAGTATCACCACCATGCATACATAGCATTGCCCAGGCTGGACATGCGTGCACACTGTCTACCCGCAGCCCACATCTCCTCACCAACCTCCTCGTTTGCCAGCACCCCTCAGGCAGCAACCACAGCTCTCACCTCGTTCATCTCATCGGCCCAGCTACGCCGCAGCTTCTCCCAGCTGTACACCGTCGCTTGCAGCCGCTACCCTTGGTCGCTTGCCCACACAAGCCGAGGGAGGGGCGGGGTTCAGGTGTTACGAGGATGCGAAAGGGCTGGGCCCGACAATCACACAGCTGGCCGCCGCCACGGAAGGCATCGACCTCCCCCGCGCACGGTGGAAACCCCCAAGCGGCCCCCACCCCCGCCGTCTAGGCACCCTGCTCCTGCCAAGCAGGGGAGGGCACCAGTCGCGGGGCTTGGGAGCGCGCTTCAGGGGGGTTTTACGTGTTGGGGGAGAGGCCCCTTTATGCTTTTCAATTCGGCGAGGGTGGCTAGCTGCTAGCTACCCTTACCAAGCGAGCGCGGCAAGCCTGGCCACCGCTGGGAAAGCTCAAACCTCCCTCGCGCGCGGTGGAACCTCCCCAGGCGGCCTCGAGGTCAACCTTCTGGGAACCTTACGCCTCCTTACGCCTCTCTGCAGGTGAGGGATCCCGTCGTTGATCTCGGAGACGCTTGAGTGGGGTTCCCTTGAGCAGAAGGAGGGGGCCTTCGAGCCTGCCAACGTGGCGCGCGTGGACAGGGAACGCCGCCGCGACCCCTGCAGCCGCGCCAACAGCCACCTCCACTGCGCCAGCTGTGCTTTTCACCCGCACACGTCGTTTCTCGCTTGCGACTGCCGCGCCAGTCTGGTGACAAAGACGGTCTCATCAGAAAAGGGAGGCCCAGATCGCCCTCCAGAGCACTGGCCCGCGAAGGAGGACCCAACCGCACGGCCCTAGGGCCGCCCACCTTCTCACCGCGCCCACAGCCGTTGCCGCACCCAGAGTTAACTTCCTTCTCCCCCCCGAGGTGACGTCCTGGATCGTGGTCCTTCCCCTCGCGTCGACGTGTGCCTGTCGTCCCCTGTTGCACTCTACTGCGCCGCCAGTGACCCCCGCAACTGTGTTCCAGCGGTCGCCTGGCCTTGGTTCGATCAACCCCCTGGGGCCGACTGGCCCTGGGGGGGGCAAGGGTGACAGTTTGACTGTGTGGTGCGAGGTGCTTCTCATCAGCACCGTCAGCACCGTCACCGCCACCAGCATCATCGCCGTCATCGTCCTTTTCCGTCTGCCCCCCATGTCCCTAATCCTCTTCATCCTCCTCCTCGTCTCTCTTTCCCCCCGCGCAATGAAAAGCAAAACGACATCCGCGCAATCAAAAAGCCAAGGGGACATCGACGAATACAGAAACCGGAAAAAACGATGCAACGAAGAACAAGCAGAAGCTTGTACAAACAAAAACAGACAGACATCAACACAACCACGAACAATCAGAAAGTTGCACAATCAAACAGAAAACCATGTTACCAATAATAATGAGAAGCTCATGTAATCAAACACAGTTTTGGGTCAGAAGGA